CCAAGGTGGATTGCGAAGAGCTCCAGAAATATCTCCCAAATTGGATGAGTAGGCAACAGTATGGTAATGAAGTTCAATGCAGGCAAGTGGAAGGTGAGCACACTGGAGTAAAAAAGACAAACTTACACTGATGGGGACTAAACTGACCAGGACTGAGATGGAAATAATTGCCCTGGGTAGCTGAATGAAAATGCCAATTCAGTGCACAAAAGCAGTGAGAAGGGCAAACTTCACACTGGGATTAGGAAAGGGACTGAAAATACGACTGGCAGCAATGTAATGCCCTGGTACCGATCTATGTTACGGCCTCATTTGAAACACTATGCTGTATCTCAAAAGTGGTACTGCAGAGCTGGAAGTATAAGAGGATTAGAGAAAGTATATGTCTTCCTTTCCCACAATATTAGAACCTAGGGGCAATATTCAGGACAAAAAGCTTTACTCAATTTGTATTTAAACTGTGGAATTTGCTGATAGAAAATGTAATGACGGCCACAAGTTTATATTTTTTAAAGGGGCTCAAATAGATTCAAGGAGGATAGGGTCCATCAGTGACTACCAACCAAAATAGCTAAAGGAACCTCCATACCCAGAGGCAGCAATTCTCTGAAAACTAGGATGCATTATTAGTGAAAGGCTGACTTCAGAGTCCGCTTAGTAGGACCTCCAGGGCAACTGAGTGGCCACCTTTGTGTAACAGCATGTGACTCTACATGGACCACTGACCTGATCCAGTTGTGTGCCTCTTATGTTCCTAAAATGACCAAACCTTCAAGTTCTGGACAAGATCTGCTGTTGTCATCACAATTACTGCAAGCCCATTGACCATCCAAATTCAAACAGCAAGGGCATGCAGTGGTGAGTTCTTAGCAAGACCCCACACAATTATGCAAATACTTTCCTAGGCCCATTCTGCATCTAGCATTCGCTCGGCTCTCACCAAACCCACGTTGGAACAGAAATTCCCCTCTACCTTGCATGCCACTTTCATTTTCTTTGATTGTCGGATTTTATGGTAGCACCCACACTGCATGCTGGTTTCACTTCCTTTGATCTCTCGGTTTTATGGTACTGTCTGGCATAGATTTATGGCCGTTCAGGGGTGACTCTGCGGTCACTACTGTGTTGGACTGAGGTATCTGAGTGTGGTTTTTGAGTGACATCTTTTTCTGTTCCAGTGTGGGTTTGGTAAAACAATGGAGCGAATGCTAAATGCAGAAAGGGCCCTAGAAGTCCCAACTTGAATCACTTCTCTGAATTCTTCGCACTCAACAGCCAGGGCTGAGCAAGGTTTTGGTTTTATTGTGTATGTTTTACTCGAAGTCCCAACTTGAATCACTTCTCTGAAGTCTTCGCACTCAACAGCCAGGGCTGAGCAGGTAACACCAAGGTTTTGGTTTTATTGTGTATGTTTTAAAAAAAATTTTTACTGTTGTTGCTTGCTTCAAACTCTTGGGAAAAGGCAGACTAGAAATTGACCTAAATAAAGAAATCAGTGCAAATTGAAGTAGTCAGAAAAACCACTTGAAATTTTCTATTTCAGACAAGGTTGCTTAAATCTTCAGTCACCCCACATTCTTGAGGGTTCTCTTGTGGGTGAGGCTAAGCTCAGACCACAGTTACCAAGCTGTCCATCTATGGTTCTGCATTACTGCTCATCCTTCCCCAGTTCCTTTCACAGAAGTCTAGTATGCAGAACCAAGACAAAGCAGCACACAAGGAAACAGGCAACTGCAGCCACATCCATCAAACCTGCAATTTTCTATCCTGGAAGAGAAATTTGACAACCCTACTTTGTACACCAGACACAAAAGACTGATATCTACGATTTGGAAATGTGTACTCATGAAGAAGCTAGAAGGCAAAAGTAAGGTAGCAACACTCATTTAAAGGTGCCAATAGAAGATATGTATACAGCTGTAACCTTAGAGTTATGTATGGAGAGATTTAATAATATGCATGCAAAAGAGTATCACTCAATTATAAACAAAAGCAGTTTATTTGCAGAACAATTTTCATAAATAAAAATATTGTTTAACAATATACAGGAAAATATGACAAAATGAACTTAAAACACATATTTATTTACACCTGAACAAATTATACACTTTTTTAAAAGTGTGGAAGTTTTTTTTAATACCCAGAAGCTTGGCACACACACAGAGAAATAACCTGTGTGTGAGAAGGCACTTTTGTTTGTTCCACAGCCTGAGGAGTGTGTGTGTATGTGTGCACACGCCAATCTTGGCCCCAGCTGTAGCCACTGTGTTGCACAGTACAGCATTCTGAATGGGGGCTGCAGCAGAAATTGGGAGTATGAATATCCCAGGGCTTATGCACACTTCTTGGGAGCTAAGCCATGTATCTTCAAAAAACAGTCACTTTATTCTCAACTCCTGGTCCAATTCAGATCAGTATACTTGTTCTTTATAATTACAGTGCTCTAACAATTTACACTAGCAATTTTTTTAAATCCTGTATATATGTTATAGTTGTGCTGTTAAGGAATAGCCCTGAACTTTTAAGCAAATAAGCAAAGTATCACTAAGGCAATTAAGAAATCCAGTCACACTGAAAACATGAATGAAACAAAATACCCTTGGCACCAATGATTCATGAACATGCAAGAGGTAGTGAAGCAAGTACTTCCTTGGCCAGAAAGTATTTCTATTAAAAAGGTGCATAAAAACAAAATTCTTGGATGTTCATAATGGAATAAGCTTGGTACTAGAAATCAAAACATTAAGAACCAGTAATCATATAAAAGATATGCTATGTTTCTGCCAGTCAGTCAAGGTAAACTTGAGCAGGTTTCAGTAACAAGTCCTTTGATTCCAAGTGGAAAGCTTGTAGCATATTCTCAAGTCTTTCACTTGAAATAAATGTGGTTTAAAAGAGCTCAGCTTCCACGGGATTCTATCTTAAAGCTTGAGTAATAAAAATCATGGGGCTGATTCATTACATGTGAGCTTACTGTTGGGTGCACCTTTTGGTGATAACACTTAGGCTGCATTCAAACATGAGAAACCATTGTTCGATCAAATCCTGATTTGTGGTGCCTGAATGCAAAATGCCTAAGAAACTGGGGTATGTTAGTTGGTACCAACCAAGACTGCAAACTAAGACTTATAGCCAGGTTGTTAGACTCAGTTTATATTTTTTGTTTGTGGTAACACCTGGATTCAAACAATTCAATCTACCCTACAGGAAGACAATTGTAAATTTGGTTATCACCAATAACCTGGACTTCCAACCTTCTTGTTCTGCATAAACCGTGAAAATCAAAAGAATGTGGGCAACCCCCAAAGAAATGTTATAGTACTTGTTTCTCATATTTGCTAGCATACACAAGACACCTGTGATGGACTGCACCTCAAAAGCAGGTTTCATAGTGCAGCTAAATCAGAGAACCGAGATAAAGAGTTAACTTTTCCCTGGAAGTGACAGGCTGCTCTTCTTCTCTGATTGGCCAGCACAGGAGGAAGCTATATGATCAGCTGAGTGCTGAGGGGAGTTGTCAGTCTGGAGATTACAGTTTAAAGTTGGAACCGTTCTGAAGGCAGTCAGTTGGTTTCTGACAGAGTTCTGGAGTCAGTGAGTCTGACAAGGTAAATCAGACGGGTTCACCTGTAAAGTGAAAGTAAGAGACTCCTTGCCTTAACCGTAGTATTCCTAACCTGTGGGAGAATTCACTATAAGAATTCAAAGTCTAAGTGGCAACATAAGCTGAGGTCCACTTTATTTAGACACCAGACCTGGGAGAAAGATTTGGCAAGAGTGATTGCGGTTGGGTGCTGAGGCTCCCTTTCAAGCCAAAAAGGAACAGGGTTCATTCCTCTGAGGAGGAGGAGGAGATTAATCCCTGCCCAGCGTCTCTGAGGGTTTAGCTCTGAGGAGCAACCTAGTCTGCTATAACGGGAAATGGTTTGAGACAGCTCAGGAAATAAAATAAACTGTAATTTAACCAAGGAGTGAGTTAGATTCACAAAGTCAGTGACCAACTCCAGGAAAACCTGAACTGCCATAGGAAACTCTCTGATGAAACATTGTTGCTATAATTAAAATACTAAGTAAAACACTACATACAACTAAGAATACCTGAAAATAAGCTTTAATAACATAATTTTGCCTACTCAAAGAAGTGAATTCTGTGTTATCAACGAGAGGCATTTTATCAGCCTCCTGTTTGTTTTTCTGTTTGAGCTATTTCTCTGATTAGTCTCAGTGGTTTGTTTGTTTTCTTTTAAGGTAGCTTCTTCTGTGAAGATATTTTCCTTTTAGTGTTTTAATCCTTACTCTGATAAACTGCTCAGCGTGCTCTGGTAGGGAGATAGGAGTAGCTGAGCCATAGCTAGAAGTACAGTTTTATTTATTGCTATTTTGCCCTCTAACCTTTGGCTATATCTTTGTCTTTTATTTTTTCCTCACCTTTTTTATAGAGCTAGATGTTTGGATTGACTTTACAATTTGGTCTATAAGCTTCTAGGTTTTTCTTCTTCTTCTTATAGACAGAAGCTTGTTACAAACAAAGCATGAGTGGAGATGAAAAGAAGCTATCCTTCTGAGGAATTTCCAGCGCCTCAAAGAAAACAAAGTAGCGTGGATTACTTCCTAGGTATTAGCTCCCCCTCAATTTGCTCCAGTCAAGGTTTACCCATGCTATTCAGTGAGACAGCTTCACCACCAGCTGATATAAGCACCATTAATGAGACTAAAATATCATTCTTTTCATCACCTAAGCTACTAGAAAGAGAGCATTCTAAAAAACATTATGTAAAGATTTGCTTTAAGGACTTTGAATTTCTGGCTTCTCAAACATTCTTAATACCTCAGACTATATTGATCAACAACATTTACCTCAGCAATCCCAATCCCTGACTCACCTATTCAATCCCTGCCTGTTGAATAAACTTGTTCTTTTGTTTTAATGTTAAATTGTCTCCAGTGCCATTTCAAAAGCAAAATAAAAAGAGAACTCCTGCTTTTCCACAACAAGCTGGGCTAAAAGCCAAATTATATTCTGTGGGATAGAAATTCTTTCAAAAACCTCATTTACATTTTATGAAGGGCTGCTCAGTCACAGCAGGGAATCAAAGGATTTCAGCAGGAAAGTTCATGCCAGTGTGAGGAGAGTGATAGAGGTCTGTCATAATACCACTTCAGGCAATTATAAAATACAAATCATTTAACAGTATGTGACCTTAAGACTTGATGCATGATTTTAAATCCCTCAACAGCACTGAAATAGTAAGTTAACAAACTGTATCACTCCAGAAATACAAGCCCCAATTTAGTCTCTGATTTTAGAAAACATATGCCTCCACTTTCATGCTTCTGCCACATAAGACAAAATATAATTCTACGAATTTAACAACAAATAGGATGAATTAGTATCTGAAATTTCATTTGACATGACAGGGAAATTCCTTAGTATTAATTCAGTGCGCATCTTCAGCATTCTAACAGTGCTAATCAAAGCATGTTCTCATAATATGGTTGCTACACAAAGTCAGTCTGAAACTGTCACTGTGGCAACTGCTTCATGCACAGAGGCATTTTGTCTATTATGGCTGCCTGCCAATTCATGTCCAACCATGTGGTGTGTTTCCATGCTGTTGCCAGCTGCTTCTTGGAATATTTGGCAATTGCGTGGAAAAACTAATTCTGAAGAACGTGACCTACTGCACTAAGGCATTCAAGTGGTCTCCATATGGCTGATATATTGAGAGATACAGAGTCCATGCAGACTAAAGGAGACACCATACCACTGTGAGAGCTGCCACTATACCATTCAGAATGGCCATACTATAGCCCACATGAAAGGAATGCCCAGTCATTCGCCTGGAAAGAAAAACAGGAAGTTAATTAGGAAGTAATAAGATCATTGAGAGTAAAACAATATCGCATTTTAAAAATGAACACAATCTAGTTGATTGCAAATGGGATTTCACACCAATTACAAGATAAATTATCATTAATCATAATTTGTATACACATAAGGTCAACATTCGAGTACTTCCAAAAAAATTAAACTCTCTCATAGGTCCACCTCTGCTCAGATTATAAACAGACCTAGCAATTCCATAGTTTTGAGGGGAAGGTTATTTTCATTTTCATCTGCACTAAGCTGGCTTTCCCCCTCCCTCCTCTTTCTGCAGGCAATTAACCTGGGCAAGGACAGAGGTACTAGCCAAAGTGTTATTGGCCCTCAGCCAGGGGCTTATTTAAATAAATAAGGTCCACAGAGACAGCATACATTTTCTGTTATTAATGTTTGATAACTTCTTTTACAGCCCAGCCATTTCACATTTTCTAATATACTTCCAACTGTATTCCAAAATTGTGCTACAACATGTCTTGTAAAAGGTCAATTGTAAATGGATTTAAATTCTTTTGGATGGGACAATTCATAAATAAAGTAGGAGTAGTCACCTTATTTAGAATATGAAAACTCACAATGCCAGCATGCACTCTGCTGGTCAGTTTACAAGATTCTTTTAATTCACTGCCCTAGACAGAATAGTGCTTGTCATTACAGTGTATGAATGTGTGGCAGCATAATTCAAAATATGTTTAATAAAAAATTTTGACTAAAATATGGGATTCATGCCAATTTAAATAACCACTCTGGAACCAACCCAACAAGCTAAGCCACAATCAATGGACATGATATACTTGTCAGAATACAAGGTTATGCCAATTAATACTGTAGCTAATTAACTGATCCTTAAGCATACCTTAGCTGGACTCCATGAAGCTTCCAGTCTAATCCTAAGCATGCTGATGCATGTCCCTTTGTTTTCACAGGAGTTTGCTCCCACATAAACATAGACAGCTCCAGTAGTTTCAATGGATGGTTTGCCAATCACAATTCAGTTTTACTAAAACAGTACTTACTTGAATCGTGCAGGTGAGAGTGGCGTAGGAGGAAACATTCCCGGTTCAAAGGAGTCAAAATAGGTCACTGTCCAAGAAAAACTGCAACATGACAGACCTGACACTAAAGCAAGAATAAGGAGACTCCAAAATCCTTAAAGAAAAAAAACAGTATTGTAAATGAAAGCTCAAAACACAACTTCAGGCAAAATGCCTTGACTCTGCTTGAATAAACAAGCACACAAGTAGCTTAACAGCATCTCAAACCCTTATTGTATGCATGTTAACTGAGAAACCCCACTGAGATAAATGAGATTTATTCCTAGGCAAGGGTGCATAGGACTGGAGCCTTTGTAGTTAGCACTACACTAGCATTTTTGCCCATTTCGTCTATAAAAGCTGGTTAATGGAGTAATCATAGTTCAGGCAACTGCTATAAAACACTCATGCAGACTGAAACACTACTACAATACTACTGTTAAAGGACATTTCTGTAATTTCATATTTGCAACTAAGTTCGCTTAAGATTGTCTATTGTAGGATACGGTGGACAGTCTATGCTAGTTAACATGAAATATTAGTAAGTCCCAAATGTATTTATTTATTGAAAACATTTATAGGCAGCCTTTCCACCCAAATAGTGTCCCCAAGGCAGTGAACACTAGGCATTAAAACATTTAAAATATTGGAACAGCACATATTTATTTATAAATATTAAAGCAAAATTTAAAATTTATATATAAATATTTAGTACTATTTAATAATTGATGTATAAATAACAACAAGACTACTTTTTTATCACACAGAATCACTTAAGGATGACATTGGCTGATCAGTCAAAACATGAATGGATAATCTATAAAAACCCTAAACAAGTCATCAATTCCCAATGAAACCACCACAACAGTCTTACCTAAAATGTTTGTTTCTATACTTTCATCAGTCTTCCCTTTCTCAAAGTGCAAGTCTGCAGATAAAAACAACCAGCAATTAATCTTTATAATTAGAAACATTTAAAGAAAAAAATGGTTGCCCTACAGTAGCAGCTTTTCTACAGGAAGTTTACCAACTTTGACTTACTAGACAATACTTTAACTTTAGTTAATTAAATCAGCTAAGATTCAATCTTGTGCTACTTTGTGCAGCTAATGGGGACCCAAGCGGCTCACAACATTCTCCCCCCCTCCATTTTATCCTCACAAAATCCTGTGAGGCAGAAAGTATATGACTGGCCCAGGGTCACCCAGCAAGCTTCCATGGCAAAGTGGGGATTCAAAGCAGAGCCTCCCAGATCCTTGTCAAACACTCTGGCCCCTACACCACTCTGGCTGTTGATGTTATCATCATTCCTCCACCTCACACTGACAAGCTTATAATCTAAAACAGCAGAGGAAATAAAGGGAAAGACAAATATAGGCAAGCGAAATCTCATGCAAAGGAGGATAGTTAAATTAAGGAGTTGGCGCACTTTTCTTTTAACAAAGGCTAAAGAATCTGGTACTTTTCTGTTTAGAAAAATACACAGACCAAGAATAACCAGCATTAAGACACATCAGGTAAAGGCCAGGACAATTTGTTGGCTGTAAAAAACAAGTCCCTGGCCAGTTCTGCTCCACCGGAAGAACTCTTGTATGACAGTGGCGGCATAAAATTCATTTTAGGTGCATCCAACGTACGGTAGTGCCTCCCTCCCGCGCTCACCTTTCAGCACTAGGCAGGCGATGGCCAGGAGAAAAGCGAGCAAACACACGGCCAGGAGGCAACAGAACACAGAACAGGCCCGGCTGGGCCAACGTCGCGCCGACCCGTCCCGTTCGTGGTGCAACCGGGCAATGCCAGCCCGGGACGCAAAAACGCCGTCCAGTCTCCCAGCGGTACCCAGCAGACCCCCGTTTCCTTCGCCGACATCCTCCAGCTCCGCCTGGAGACTCCGCGTCACCGCCGCGTCGTCCGGAGGCCAAGGACTCCGAGCAGCACCCGCTTGGCCACTCCACCTGTAACGGTCCAGCCTCGCTTCAGCCGTGTAAGACGCCGCCATGACAGCTCCGACCGAGTCAGAAAGAGCGCGCGCCCACCACAGATGAAGGCAACAGATTTCTATTTGAAAGCGCCCTTCACCCGGAAGGATAAATGGAGGAGGAGGAACAAAGGCGCGAACCGGAAAGGAAAAGGAGAGAGCGCCGACGTGATGAAACAGAGGCCACGCCTCTTCCTCTTCGACGTCACTCGCCAGCGGTTACACCTTCCTCCCATGCGACTATATTCTCTTAAGAAACAGCAAAGGATGTGAGGCTTTTCTCCCTCGACCTCTCCCCCCCCCCAACCGTCGCGTTTCAGGGCTGGTTTCCCCTTCCACTCCAGGCGTTGTGCTACTTCTTGGGCTTCCGTAGCGTCGTTCCCACGGTCCCCGCTCGTGGGTACGCTTTTCCCAGTGTCCTTTGCGCGCGTTTCCCTTCTCTCCTCCCCCCCCGTTTCCTCTGTACTTTTCATTCCGCCTCAAGCCTCCTCTCCTCCCACCTTCTCCTCCGTGAAGTCCGTCCGGCCCACGCGCGCCTGTGGCCTGCCTCGGAGGAGTCCCTCGGCGCGAGTCTCTGGGCCTCTTGCCGTCCCTCACGCGCACCTTCCGGTCTCCCGTCCCGGAACCGGTCCAGGCCTCCTCCGCGCCACCCCGCTCCCCCCGTGGGGGCCCCCGGCGCGGAGCAGTCGCCCAAGAGTTCCCGCCTGGGAGGACGCCCGGATTGGCCGGCCGGAAAGCCCGTCAGCCTCCTGGCTCCTCTGCTCCCGCCTAGGGGGGAGCCCGAGCCCCTCTTGCCCTTCGGACCCTCCTCCCGCCAGCCGCTCAGGGGGAGGCTGCTGGGCAGATGCGGTGGTGGTGGTGGTGGAGGGGGCGGCGGAGGAGGAGGAGGGGGCCTCCTCAACCCTGCGATGCGGCCGGGGGGCGGTGGAGGCGGCGGCGGCGGAGGAGGAGGCGGCGGCGGAGGAGGAATGGGCCGGGAGTGCCTGATGGTGAGTTTAGCGATGGGCTCTTGAAGCCAGGGTTGGTGTGGAAGACAAGGATGCGCGTGCAACCCTTCACCACAGTTTTTAGTGATCCTCAGTATTTAGGAAGAGGAATTAGAGAACGACTGTGGTTTTTGTCCTGTATAGGTAACAGGAGTTGAGGTCAGCATGATAACTGTACCAATGGCCCAGAATGGTGTTCTGGCAGCCTGGTGACTGTCAGTGGGTTGTGGTTTTTTTGGTCAGACTAAGTAATTTACAGTGGTGTTATTCCCATTTATATCTCTATAATATCTGATTCTAGGTATTAAATGCTCCCGTTTAGTATATGTTTGAGTATATTGTGTTCTGAAACCATTGGACATTAACTCTGGTCTTAAGTTTTGTTCACTACTTTTGTTTATCAATTGTTAGGAGTAGAAAGTGAGAGGGCAGATAAGGTTGTTGTGCTATAATAGTATGTAAATTGGTCCTTGTGCCTTGAAGTTGTATGAAAATAAACCTTGTAGTTGTATCTCTGTACTCACAGAGAAGTGGCATGCCTTTAACACCAGTTCATACAAACATAAGAGGAATCAGGGAATAAGATAACCTGCTATAACCAAAATGAAATTTCTATAAAGATTTCAAGTTATGAACAAATCCCTTTGAGTAAGTAAATTTCTCACTCTTTTCTGCCTGTCAGCATGTTAACTTTGTACCAGGAGGCCCAGTCAAAGTAGTACCTGTGTTTGTTGACAGACAGCAATAATACAGTAGCTTTTTTGCAAAATCATTGTGGTTGTTCATATGCAGTCTATGGTGTACTCTATTATTCTAAATGATTACTGTAAACAAAATTGCTTGTGAACTTTCTCTGGTGTTTCAATGACTTAATGACAGAGGTTATTTTTTAAATGACAGTATGCATGGCAAATAGGCGCACTTTATTTTTCTTGGCACACTACATTTCTTTTGCCACTTGTATCTCAAAACTTGTTACAAGGAACCTATACTCCTTAATCTGAGTAACTATGCAATATATTCACAGATTGCACAAAGCAAGGAATGCGCTTGAGCATTCAAAGAGACAGTGTTCTTAGCCATTTCTTTTGAGATTGAGATCTGATATTCATAAATTCTGTGCTTGAGCCCATTGAGCCATAGCACAAAATAAGCCATGCTTGCCTGCTTACTTAATTAGTGTTAGAGCTGTTATTTCACATACTATGCAGAAGAAAAAAACCAGATTTTTCTGCAAGTATATGTGTACGACACTGATTCTAACTATGATGAGAGTACCTGCACGAAAACATGTGTTTACATATTTGACTGTGTCACATTTTATGCTTTAATAAATACTTAAACATTTTCAGAACTTAATGTATGGGTAGGCTTATGTTTTTCAGTCTTTAGTAACATTGTACTTTTAAAATATGAGTGACTAAATTTGCTTAGAAATTTGGAAGCTGCAGTTCAGATCTACAGCCCTTGGGCCATATGTGATGTGCTAAGCACCCAGCCTTTCTTGTTCAGCATATTGATTTCTTGTGTACTTACACTATTTCCTTTGACTGCAAGTACAGAGAGGATTGTGCCTCAAGGTGCTGATTACAAACTGTGTCCTGAAATTATTATCACTTCATTTCTCACTCAGCAAGCAGGTTACTATTTTTGTTAAGGCTGAATGCTAGTTTTTAAGACTTCTAACACATCACAATATAATGACGCAATTTAGTATCAGAAGCAAATGGAAAAAATATTTTATTAGTAGTGATCCAGTGATACACCTGAGAAGGGGAGATGTATATGCATGCGTGTGTGTGTGTGTGTGTGTGTGTATATATGTATATATATATATATTCATTCCTTGATGTCATACTGAGATTCAAACATTTTTTTAACTCGTGGAGGCTAACTTTTCCAAATATTGAAAACCAGTTCTTTGTTGTGATTTGAGAAATTCCATGAACTTGAGTAAATTTGTTTGGTTTTGTCATTTTTTTATACATGCAGGCAAACTGAAACTTGTCTTATAACAAGACCTAATATACCAGAGTGGTCAAACAGAAAAGTTATCACGGTGCCACTATTCTGTGTGTTTCTGGGCCTTTGGAGTCTTGAACTGTCATTAACATTTTGTTTTTCAGATGGGACATCCTGGCATGCCTCACTATCCACCCATGGGGATGCATCCTATGGGCCAGAGGCCGCCTAACATGCCTCCAGTATCACATCAAATGATGCCTCAGATGATGCCTCCAATGGGAGGACCACAAATGGCGCAGGTAAGTTAGCTTCTGTGATTTCTGTTATATAAATAACACTTTTAAACAGATTTTTCTTGAAACAGTAATTTAAAATTACTTTAGTCTTTTCTGTAATTCATTAAGAGCTTTACATTGCTACAGGTTTTTAACTTCTTTGTAGTTTTTGTGAAAATTCTTATTTTTTACTTTATTGAAACAGAAGCTTTCTTGCCAGTAGACGAAATTTTGTGTGTAGAAATCAGAGGGTATGTGGATTTATAGAGGAATTAGTTAAAAGTGAACAAAAGAAGAGAACCTCTGAAACCACTTATTCCCTTCGATGAGTTCCTGTATATTGGTAGTTAGAGAGAACAGCCTTTGTGTGGAAAAGGAATTTTAACACAATGTTTTCTGGCATTGGTTATGACTTTACATAAATAACCTATTCCTCTTGTGGCCCAATAATTCTGAATGGTATGGTCAATTAACAGCCAGGCTCTTTCAGCCTGTGCTTTTGTTCTCTCCCTTTCCCTTATGGTGACTGTATCCTTTGTTTGCATTTTCGGTGATTATTTGGAGGAATCAAAGTGAAATTGTCAGCTTTATTTGGCATCAGTTACTCCGCTAATAGACCTCACTAGCCCTGGAAAGTACCTACAACAGCTTAAGAATTTTGCTGCTGAAGGGACTTAGCCAGCCTGGATTCAAGAATGCTGACATTGTGTCTGGCTGCTATTGCCAGGTGCGCTTTTGGTCGTGGTGCATAATGCCAGTATCTTCACCTCTTTTCTGAAGCCCCACTTGAGGGCTGAACATCTCTGTGTCCTAGTATTTAGTTAGCAGTCTGATAGGTGTCTGGCATCCTTCCAGATTGCAAATAGTATGACAGTACATTATATTAGTCTAGTGCAGCTTAAGCAAGGATAGGGAGGCACATGCAAAGTTGTTGGACAGTAAGTCCATCTATAATGACCAATTTTTAAAGGTAACTGTTATTAATAAATTCTTTATATTCTTCCCCTTTGCTGCCTGTTAGGGTTCATTCATATATCTGTCATTCATGACCCCATCACCCTGCATCTTATCTATTTTCACATGTTAAGGAAGTGATTATATATGTATATGAAAAATAGATAATTTTTCTAATGGATGTGGAGGTGAAGGCTGAGAGACTTAAATAGGGAAAGGTTTTTTTAAAAATAGTTGTGTGGCTGATGTAGTTTTTTGGTAATCAGAATAATAGGGCTTTTTTGTCTTGTGCTATGGATATTAGTCTGTTAGCCTAACAGTTAACATTGATTGTTATTGGAATAAGCAGTGAATGTTTGTCTTACTTCTCTTCTTACTCCTTTTGGGAGCAAATAGCAGTGTGTTCCACTGGAGATTTACCCTTTGGGTTCTACTATACTACCCTGGAAAGTCACTGTGTTCCACTGGAGATTTACGCATTGGGTTATACCATACTACATTGGAAAGTCACCCTTATTTAAATAATGATTGCTGTATTTTACTGGAAGTCCCATTCTCACCTTTGAATTATAGACATCCTGAGCATTGTGTATATATCCCAGAAATTGACAGGTATTTTGAAGTTATTAGTGTGGCACTGTTAAACATGTGGCCATGGGAAATACAGACCTTTATTTTGGCCCACCAGCTAATTGATAAATCCCTTGGTTTTGTGGCTTGCCTTGAGATGGCACAGACTGGATTTATCCAGTGCCACCTGTGCAGCATTTTGAAACAAGCATGGTGCATGTGTTCTAGAGGCTATGAGTTTGGCAGTCCTCTAAAAAAAATCCTTGATGTTTCTGAAAGTACCTAGGTAGAGGTTTTAGGGAGCATCTCATGCGTGGAACAGAATTATATGGAAGCAGCAGTGGGGCAAGACTCCTTTCTTCTCCTGCTTCTACAGGATGGTGGGGAATGGGAGGGCCACTCCCATTCTTTCTTCTCTTCCTCACGCTTCCAAGAAAACCTTGTGGATTGAGGGTGGAGCAGTAGCCCTACCAAATACCTCTCCCTCCACACAAGATGGAAGGTAAGAGGGAGCAGTAACCTGATGCTCCCTGAAGATATATGGGAAATGGGGTCATGGCCAACCCAGCAGGGATTGTCACCATATAGCGGGAGGGTTATTTCCCAAGAGTCATTTGTGGGGCTCACCAGTCAAATTAATTGGCTGATTATGGCCAATTGAATACATTACTAGTTATCTGTATAGTCTGTTCTCTAGCTGCTGTCCACCTAGGTCATAATAATGAAAATACCCGAAATAAAACCCTTTGCATTCTAACTTTCCTTCAGAAATACATTTCCAGTTAAGGTAGCATGCACATTCAAGCCCAATTAGTTCTTCATGCTAACTGTCTTGGGTCTCTGTCTTGGATGGCCTGTATTAGACCCACATGTAATTATTGTCTTGCAATATCACTGAAGTGAAGAATTTCCCCACTCAACATTATTTATGATGCTTTAAGGAAATAAGGGCAGTGTTGTGATTTTAAGTGGCTAAGTTAGTTTGCATCCCTGTTGCATGCTTTTCTCAGCTTTTTTTAACAGTTCATGTTTTTGAACCCTGCAGTCATAATTCTTAAACTTTATAGTACTCTTCATCTTGGAACATCTTTGCAAGCATAACTCTTACTCCAGCACTGTGAGACAAGTTCTTCAGGTATTATCCTCTGTTCATAGATGAGGTAAATGAGCCCTCAAGAGTTTATGTAGGTCACAGAGGGATTTTGGTTTGGGAACTTGATTTAGAAGATTCGGAGTTTAATTTACTTGGGCCCCATTCCTGCAGCACCTTCTGAGTAGTTTTAATGTTTTGGGTACTTTTAGTAGTAAAACATGGGGGGGCCCTGTTTTCTTGAGGTAACTTTTCTCCTATCCGTTCCTCCCTGATCCTCCAGTTCTTCACTTTTGCCTTGGGTTCCCATTTGACCAGTCACCACTAGAAGCTGAAAAATCTTACCATTCTTTGTTGCCCCTGTAACTTAGGTCATATTATCTGCAGCAGTTCTTCTGGTCACTTAAAGCCTTAGTTCTTTATAACTGGAAAATCAAATTGAGCTCCTACCTGCCTCCATAAGATTTACTCAGATTTTAACTCATTTTTCTATATTCACATTTGTTATGCCCCTAAAATCCTGTCTCAGCAGGTTTAAATACTATCCTTCTATCAACATAAAGAAATCTATATGTACAGCAACATACAGTAAGCTGTAAACACATACTATAATCATGTTTTACTTGTAGATGCCTGGAATGATGCAATCGGTGATGCCTGGGATGATGGCACCCCATATGTCTCATGCTCCTATGCAGCCTACAGGACCAGTAAGTGTTAAACTTCTCTGGTAATTAAAAAAAAAAATCACCAGACAGTACTGACTTTGTGCTTTAGTATTTATCAGGTGTACAGCATCAGGTACCTCTTTCTGTTTGAGCAATTAGACTTTTAATTGTTTAAAGTGAATAAAGGAAAGAAATTGATTCTGCATGTTCCTTATGCAGAGATTTTAGTTAGAGTTATACCTTTACAGGTTATACAGGAAGAGGTTAATGAAAAATGACCAGTAAATTTCTGATATCTTGTCTCCACTCTTCCCCCCCCCCAGTTTATGTATGTACAAGGATCAAAAAGGCATGCATAATGTGCTAAATCAAAGCACCTTACTTTAATCTTATGGTGTTATCCACTGTCAGAAGTGAGTTGTAGTTTTATTTGCAGGCTAAAGGGCCCAGGTTCAGTGATTGTCATTCCAAATCTTAGGTTTTTGTACGTGATATCCTGGAAAACCACTGCCAGTCAAACTAGACAACACTGAGATAGATGGACAAAAGGTTTGACTTGGTATATGCAACTTTATATGTTAACGTATATGTTGTCTTATCCTTTTGATAAATTTGAGACCAAACCCCTGCTTAATACATGAGCAAGGCAAATGTGAAAAACTCATCATTTTTAGTTTATTTTGGATCTTAAACAGATTCATTTATCACATGTTAAATATAGTGCTGTAGTAAAATTAGATTTTGTTGTGTTTTATTTAGTTGTAATGTGTATAAGCTAACTGTTTGGTGCTGAGCTATCAGCATTGCCCACAAAATAAATTAAGAGGCAGAATTCAATGAATTTTGTTTCCCTATCTAATACCCATGTTTTCCTGTTCTGTTCGCAAAGCAATATAAACACTTCAAATATAGATATGTATTTCTAGTTGACATCTTTTGAAAAACCACCAACTCTTCAGTTCACTGTTGTCTCTTTCTTGTCTTTTTCCCCAGCTGTTTTTATATGGGTTTCCTCCTGCCTGGCAGATTGTTTATTCAGTGTTGTCTATTGGGGAAGCTCCCTCTCCTTTTCTTTCTCTGTTGGGGTCCCTAAGAATTCTAATGTTGATGCTGTACTATCCTCGCTGTACTCTGTTTTTGTGTGACATCATCAGACATCATGGTAATACGATGTTACCAGACTTCTCTGCTAAAATCACTCCTCCTCTATACAATCCTGCTTCTTTGTATTTCTATCTATCATTTTCTTAGATGTGTAATTTCATCTGAAAGACTGTACTATTTCTGTTTTTCCAGGCTTTTCTCTGTTTAGTTGTTCTCCATATCTACACATAATTGTTTTTCATGTTGATATGTCTTGCATTCTTCAATGTCTCCCATTCTTCACTCTCCACCAATGCTCCCTCTACGCTGTGGAGTCTTGTGAGCAAAAATTCTTCTTTATGAGCTACTGGCGTTAAAGTTGTGAGCAAGCGATTTGGCTACTGCATAAATTAGTTTGCTCTGGAGTAGAGATGTAAAATTTCTGGAAATTTTTAAGCTTGGAAAAAAACCTCGTTTTTTTCGGGGAGAAACGGAATTTTCGGAAAAATTGAAAAAAATGCTACATTAACATTTCTTTTGTCTTTTCTAGATTGAAAGTCATTCTCTTACTTTAGAAACATAAAATATGACTATGGACATTTTTACTTGGAAAAAAACAAAAAAGGCTTCAGGAAAAAAACGGGAAAACCCCGTTTTTCCCCCCGAATTGTTCCGGGTTTTTTCCAGGCCTTCACATCTCTACTCTGGAGCCATCCTTTCTAAGTGAAAACAAAAATGTGTGAACCAGAGGCTAAAAAACTGTGAGCTCAGCTTAGAGGGAACACTGCTTTCCATATTCGTTAAGTTTAAGTGATGTCACTTCTTACTGTACAGCAGTGACCCCAGTGTGTTGCCCATAGACATCTTGGTGTTTGCCATTGTGTTTCCTGCTGTTCACTTCCCTCTTAGGGCCTCTCTTCTCCAAAGCCAGCCTGGCTTTCCTGCATGTTGTTGGAGAAGAATGTATTTAAAAAATCTGCCTGCATCATAGGACGAAACCTGGCTTGAAATCCCAATGTTTTGTAATTGGCCGTGGTCTACATTGTAGATATTTTGTGGTTGGGCACACACACACCCCCCCGAGCCGTGACAGCCATTTTCCAGAAGAGCTCACAAGTTCAGTAGGTTGTGGTCTGTTCTCTACAGTGTTACAAAAATCTGGCCATTCCTCTCCATCCCCTCAGCTAAAATTCTGGTTAATCTTCTGATTATCTGCTATGTTAACTGCTGTAACCTTCTTCACTCTTGCTTTCCTCTTTCTCATCTCTGTCCAAAGTCTCCTGCCAAAATCTGCCATCAAAAATATTCTCTTGTTCATTGCTCAGATCATGCAGTTGTCCTCCTAAAGTTCCCTCACTGACTCCCATTCATTTCTGTATCAAGCACAAACACCTTTTAAAGCTCTCATAGCCTTATCTCTGTCCTGTTTTTTAGGTCTTTTTCTCATTCTGTTGCTGCCACATGTGCATGGAACTTTGTTCCTAAACACGTACAATGGTCATATCTCTATTCCATCTACTCCATCTTCAGCTTGGTCTTTTCTTTGAGACTTAACCTGTTAATCTTCATTGTCAAGTCTGGCAGTGCTGAACTAAGTCTCTGAAGCCAGAAGTTATATGCATATATGCTTCTCAGCATTTGGCTTTCAGGAAGCTGACACAGGCTTTTACTGAGCATGTGCAAGTGATTTCTTTGGTTCATATACCAACATTAGGAAAGATTGTGTTTTATTGTTAGAGGACTCCTCAGGTTCTGTAGGTTGTCAGTCAGTTGGCTCTCTCTGTGCTAGAGAGTAAAGTGGTCCACATTTTAACTTGGATTGGGCTGCTTAGTATCCTACTTTTCAGTATTCAAGGAGCACAACCTCCAGAACAGCTCACTTTTTCATAATTTAAAGAAATAATGTGTATGGTATACAGTTATGCCTTCTATAAGAAGGAATTTCTGTTCTCTTAGAATGTATTGTGTTCAGCTTCAGATTTCTTTCCTATTATGGATTTACAGTATTAATTTTATGTTGAATCTTTATGTTGAATCTATGGACTAGTGCTGGTTTCCAAGGATATCTGTCTAAAATTCTGCACGCAATACAATGTTTGACACACAGCAGGGATAACCATTTAACTAAACAAGCCTGATAGTAATATTTGGAAACTAAAATTTTGGTAGCCATTAGCACAATGTTTGACACACAGCAGGGATAACCATTTAACTAAACAAGCCTGATAGTAATATTTGGAAACTAAAATTTTGGTAGCCATCAGCAAATTGTCTCAGTTTGAACACATGCAGCTGGCTTATACTGAGTTGGACTGTTGGTTTGTCAGAATTAGCGTTGTCTATTCACAGAAGATCTCTAGAATCTCAGATAGAGGCTTTTTACATCACTCCTCTCAGTCTGTTTAACTGGAAAGAGAGGTTGAGCCTTGGATCTCCTGCATACAAAGAAGATGCTGTATGCTGGTCTCTCTGCCTTGAATTTACAGTTCTTACAGTTTTG